ACGTGTCATGGATTTGCCTGCATTTATTCTTGGTCTAGCTGTGAGGACTTTTGTTTTCCTTTGTGTTGAGATGTGATCCACACTAGCGCTCACACGGATCTTCATCAGTCAGTGCTTCAAGCCCCCTTCCCTTTCTCGAGCAAGCAAGGCTGTGTCCTTTGCACGCCCCAGGCTGTTGACTAGCCTCCCTTCAGTCTTGATGTCCATTCTTTCATATAATTCAGCATCTCAGATTATTTGCTCAGTACACCCGTTGAATAAATATGGTGAAAGATGCAACCCTTAGATAGCCTCTCCTGATTTAAACCACAAGCACCCCTTGTTCTGTTCCACGGCCCCCTGTAAGTCTGTGTACAGGCTTGATCTGAGCATAGTTAAGAATTCTGGAATTTTCCATTTTTCAGATCGTTATTCATAATTTGTTATGATCCACACAGTTGATTACCTTTGCATAGTTAGTGAGACATCTTTTTTACATGCTTTGGCAGCCAAGACCCATCGATCAGTAGTGATAGACCCTTGTCCATGTCCTCTGCTGACCATGGCTTCAGTCCCAGCAGTCCCTGTTATGTGCTACTGAAACCGTTTCTAAATGATCCTCACAGAATTGTGCTTACGTGTGCTATGAAGGATGTTGTTCTCTAAGTTCTGCCTTCTGTTAGCTCACCTTTCTTTAGCATGAACACAAATACGGATCGCTGCCAGTCTGTTGTCCAGGTAGCTGTCTTTCAGGTTTCTTGGCACAGAAGCGTGGGAGCTGACGGTGCTGCACCAAGTTGTTGAAACCTTTCCCGGAGCCTTGATTTTTTGCTAATGCTTTCAGTGAAGCCCCGATGTCTTCCTTTAGTGCCCGCTGGTTTTGATCGTGTGCCACTTCTTGAAGTGGCTGCACGCCAACCTGCTCTTTTTGACACAGTGGTTCTGTGTGTACCTTCCACCTTCGGATGCTTCCCGAATAGTCCAGTCCTCCGCCCATGGACTCGGTCAAGAGCGACCAGCCGCCTGGGTGCTTTCTTCTGCTCTCTCAGCTCGGGGGTGCTGCACACCCTCTTCCTTTTTGGCTTTCTAACTCCAGATCTTGCACAGATTTTTAAAAAATCATTTTATTGGGGCTCTTATAACTCTTATCACAATCCATACACACGTCCATTGTGTCAACCACATTTGTACATCTGTTGCCATCATCATTCTCCTTGTACTTGAGTCCTTGCTATCAGCTCCTCATTCCCCCCCCCATGAACCTTTGATCATTTATAAATAATTATTATTTTGTCATGTCTTACACTGTCCGGTGTCTCCCTTCACCCACTTTTCTGTTGTCTGTTCCCCAGGGAGGGGGCCATGGGTAGATCCTTGTGATCAGTTCCCCCTTCTACCCCACCTTCCCACTACCCTCCTGGTATTGCTTCTCTCATTATTGGTCCTGAGGGTTCATCTGTCCTGGATTCCCTTGTTGCCAGTTCTTATCTGTACCAGTGTACATGCTCTGGTCTAGCCAGATTTGTAAGGTAGAATTGGGGTCATGAGGGTTGGGGTGGGGGGAGGAGACATTAAAGAACTAAAGCAGTGGTTCTCAACCTTCCTAATGCTGCGACCCTTTAATACTGTTCCTCATGTTGTGGTGATCCCCCAACCATAAAATTATTTTTGTAACTACTTCATCACTGTAATTTTGCTACTGTTAGGAATTGAGCAACCCCTGTAAAAGAATCATTCCACCCCCAAAGGGGTCGCGGCCCACAGGTTGAGAACCGCTGAACTAGAGGAAAGTTGTGTTTCGTTGGTGCTATGCTGCACCCTGACTGGCTCGTCTCTCCTTGTGACCCTTCTGTGAGGGGATGTCTTAGGGTCTCCACTCGCATCGGTGTGATTGTTCTGGGTCTCTGACTGCACAGGTCTGTAACGTCCTCGCTTATGTCGTAACCTCTTCCTTTAGTTCACACTCTGGGATGTTCAAGGGCAAGTTCTGGAGTCTCTCCTGCCACCACTTTGCCCGTTTCTTTACCATAATCATTTGCCGTCTCCATCCAACATGAACTTGGTGCGAACTCACCAGTCCTTCAGTCACTCGTGTTCGCTGGGTCTGAGTTTCTGTCTTAGAGGAACTTTTTAATTCAGTTGGGATACACTCAAGGTCATACGTTGGCCTTGGTAGACTTGTCCGAACACCTTGGACTTCAAGTGGAACTCACATATGAAAAGGTAGCCGTCTTTCTGACAGTGGGAACTGGACCCTGTTCTGTGTGGTGGTATTGCGTGTCCCAGGCTCTCCTTCCACTTCCGCAGTCAATTTAATCCTGTGTCTCTCCCCTGGCGAACTCCACGTATGCAGTGCTGTCTATGCTGCTGACAAGGAAGACATTTACAACGAAGGAGTTGTTGGCCTTGAGGAATTCTGTCTTGGAAGCTCTAGCCTCGTTCTTGGCCATATTTTGCAACGACTGAGCCTTCCTCTTTGCTTCCAGTTTTCTCATTCCAGTCAACGGTAGTAATAGGTACATCTTGATTACATGTTTGATCAACTTCACACCTTAGAGGTTAGTGAAAATCTTCAATGTCTCCATCTTTGGCCTTAGGGTTGGTATGTGAAATTGAATGAACAGTTGCATTAATTGGGCCTGGCTGTCGACACATGGAAATTAAGCCATCATGGACAACAACTTTGTGCTTCGGGCAGGAGCTTGAAGTGGCCTTTGTAATGATGATTCCCAGCATGGCTGACCACACGGCTGCCGGGCTCAGAACGGCCAAGGCCAGGCCATTTCAGCTCACGCAATGTCCACAGCATCGGTCTCTGTGCATTCAATTTCATCTTTGACAAGTTCAGAAGTTCCTGGATCCATACTTCGTACATTCCACTTTTCGATTACTAACGGCTGATTACCGCTGCTTTCTCATTTTAAATCATGTTGCACCACCACACAAAAGTCCCCAAAACTTCACCTCATCCCCGTCAGTGCAGTCAGCTCCGCGGTGAGGACCCCGCTCTTTGCTGGGTGCATTTGAGCCCTTTCCACCCTGAGGGACAGCACAAGGCCACGTGTTGCCTTCCTAAGGGTTCCACTGGCCCCGCTCTTTACATGTAGATTGCTAAATCCTCCTTCCGGCCTCTTAGTCTGGACACTGGGCCACCATGGGCGACTGCTGGTTCCTGGACTCCTGATGGCAGACCCTCCAGCCTCACAACTGTCCAGCAGCGTGCGAGCCCCCACGGCACAGCGAGTGATGCCCGTGCGCGCTCCGTCGAGGCGCTTTGAGTCCAAAAGGAAACCCGGGGCCGGGAGAGATGTGCCGCCTTCAGGGGACACGACTTCACACCTGCTGCTCCTCGGAGCCCCCAGCCAAGCTCATTGGTCATGCTGACCCGCCAAATGAGGAATGCCGAGCTTGACAAACGAGCAGATCTCGTTTTCTGATCCATCACTTAGAAATGCACCCCATACTCCTGAAGGCTAGCCAAGTCTGTTTCAAAGGTAGGCCGCAGCTGTTTGTACTTTAGAGCTGTGGAACGTGGTAGAAGCCACAAAGTTATCGTGGTGAGATTCCATGAAGGACCTTCCAGGATGTCCAAGGCGACTTTTCCCTGAAGGGCTCTGGGCGCTCAACTGTTCATGGGCTCTGGGATTTGCTTCAGAGTAATCCAGGGTGAGTCGGGGAGCTGGGTAGCAGGCACCTAGAGGGCCTTCATGCTCCACTCTCCTAGGTGTCTGAAAGTTTCACTTAAAACCATGGGGAAAGGGCTAGAATGTAGAGACCTGAGTCATTTAGCCTTCGTGCCATAAAGGTTTGTGCCGTGGTATGAGGGGACTGGGAGGTCTGAGTGTTTTCCACCTGTAATTAAACGAGTCCAAGATTACACACTTTCAGCAGGCCGAAAGACTATTTTTGTTCAACATTTTGTCTGGGGCAAGCCTTGATTTCTTTTCCGATTTTAAAGTAACACAGGAATGAACATTGGTAGCTTATTTTCTCTCATCCCTCAGTTTGTAAACCTTAAAGGACAGATTTAGCCGTTGTATCCGAGTTGATGCCAGTGTTCCCCACGGGGATCTCACTTCCAGGGCCGTAAATCTTGCTTTTACTTCTGAGGCAACCAGGAAAAAGAGCCAAAATGGAATCTTGTCAGGCTTTGGAAAACTGCAGCTAATTTTAGTTTCATAGCTAGAGCAAAAGACCACGTGTGAGCCTTCTGTACGCTGAAGGATGTTTAAGGTCGGCTTTTATACGATCTGTATTCTTGAAATTAAGGAGCCCTGGTGGTGCAGTGGTTATGCGTTTGGCTGCTAACTGCAAGACAGAAGTTCAAAACCACTGGTTGCTCCTCTGGAGAAAGTGCGTTCTAAGCCCATAAAGCCTCTGACACTCCCAGGGGCACAGCTACCCTGCCCGACAGAGTCGCTGTGAGTTGGCATTGACCCGATGGCGGGGAGTTTGGGTCTTCTTGGAATTCTGGAGCCTGGTGGCCTAGTGGACTATGAATGGGCTGCTGATCCTGAGGTCAGTACTTCAAACCCAGCAGCTGTTCTGAGGGAGGAAGATGAGGCAGCGTGTTGCCTCTCAATATTTATGTCAGAAACCCTAGGGAGCAATCCTGCTCTCCTCTGCGGGGGGCTATTTGTTTGTGTTTATATTCTAAACACCGTAGCTTTGGGGTCTGTACAATCTCGTGCAAGGAGAGCTGGTGGAGCAATGTTGCAGCACGCGACTGCCTAGTGGAAGTCAGTGGTTCGAACCCACTTGCTGCTCTGGGAGGAAGATGGGGTGATTTACTTCCATAAAGATTTGCAACTTGGCAGGCCCACGGGGCAGCTCCACTCTGTCCTCCGCAGGGTTGCTGCATCAGAGCCAAGAACACGCGTTGTCCCACGAACTGCCTGTGGGATGACTCAGCAAATACTCGGCGATTCGTGACGCTTTGACTGAAAGGAGTGAAGGCGGCTCATTTTATACTCAGAAGGTAAATGCAAGGTGTGATGGTCTCTTTCTTTCTATCACAACAGGAAAATTACTACAAGTTAACTCGGGGGCCAAAGAGCAACTCTTTTTCGAAGCCCCAAGAGGCAAGCGGCGTCTAATTCGACCTTCAGAGGTAAGCACCTGGCGCCAACGCTTTGAACCCTGTCCGGAAGATTGCGAGGGTGTGTTTCGCTCCGTGGTCCGTGCTCTAAGCATGCCTTTAAGCTCCTCGTTTCTTAGACCCACTTGCTTTCCCTGGTTTCCGAGTGGCTGAGGGCATGTGGGCCTACTCTGCTGCCGCCGAGGTCACAATGCAGCGCTGGCCTTGGGCTAGGCTGTTCTCTGCAGAGACTTTGATGGACTTTAGGAACCTGTTCTCACGACATTCATTACATGTCTCGGCACTGTATGTAATTCTGCAACAATAAGAGAAACGGTTCCTTGTGACAGGAGCAACTGTCCACGGCCGAGGGACTGTCCCGATGGGTCAAACTGCCCTTCTCTCCTGTGTCCGTGGCATGTCGTAATTGTTGGCGTGCAAGCCCAGTTCACGATGTCCAGACTACTGGCTTCTGACGCGAGGTCCCTTTGAGCACGCGTCCCTCCGCGGGCCTGCGGATGCGTGCACGGACGAAGCCTGATGACTGAAGAGGGGGAGTTGCCTGACCAGACACCAAGCCCTGGGGACAGTCTGACTCATGCGTTGCCATGTCCCCTTTGGCGAAAGAAAGGAAGGCATTTCCTCCTTTGGAGGAATGCAGGCTAAGAGTCTCCTGCTGCCGGGCAGCCCTGCGAGATCGGATGGAGAAAGTGGCCGTGTCCCTCCTCCACGAGGCCGTGAGCTCCCAGCCCCGTGGCGGGCTCTCTGAGCCCCGTGGCCAAGTTCATCATGCTGTCAGCATTGCTGAAGGGGCACCAGGCGCTGCGTTCCTGAAACCTGTTTATGGGTTAACTGGGTTCACTTCCCAGCTCCAGTGTGTTTGCCTCAGATCAGCCCAGACTGGTCCTAGCTCTCTTCTGCGGAGAAACTTCTGCAGTCCTCAGTAAAGGGATGCTCTTAATAACGCCATTTGCTAACTGCGCGGGGCCGCACTCACACACCGTCCTTTCCAGCCTCTCGATAGCCCCGATAGCTCCGCGGGGTCGGGTGGGTGGCGGTGTGCCGAGATGGAGCCTGTGCCTCCAGGCGAGGCAAAGAGCAGAGGCGCCGTGTGCGCCGCCTCCGCTCCGGGCTGGGAACTGGGAAAGGAGTGTGCTGACTCTCCGCCTCTCTTCTGAAGATGGAGAAGCTCCAGTGGGACTCGTGGACCTGCGTCCTCGGCCCCACCTGCGAGGGGATCTGGCCGGCACACAGCGACGCCGTGACCGACGTGAATGCCGCCACGCTCACCAGAGACGGCTCGCTCTTGGCCACCGGGGACGACTTTGGGCTCGTTAAGCTCTTCTCGTACCCTGTCAAGGTAATGTGGCACACGCATCGCCTCTACTTGCTCAGCTCATGGGTCACCCCAGATCTATCAGTCATTTCCCAGGGGAGGTTCTACGATTTGGAAGGCCTAAGCAGTCCATGGTGGGAGCAGGGTCGTGTGTTACATGAAAAGCCTCCCTGACATAGAATTTACTCACCTGAGTCAGATGCTCACAACTGCCGTTTCTCCTTGAAGGCCCTTCTCTGGCCATCTAACCCGACTAGTCACAGACTGCGAAGAATCGCCAGACAGCCTCTCACCCCAGTGCTCTTCTGGAGGTGGGGAACTTTCTGCCATACAAAGCAGTTGCTAAAAACCCTGTCCTCTGCATGGGGCTGAAATCCCCTCGCCTCAGCCGTAGCTGTTCTTCCTCCCGAGCCGAGCCGTT